TGAAGAGTAAAAACAGTTATATTATTGGCAGATTGTTCTTATTACAGGAAGTAATTTGGTTAAAATAAATGTCGTTTTGAATAGTATCAGGGACAACTCCCAGTCTTAGGCAAATTTGGGTGTGCCCTCACCAGTGACATAAGCAGGAAAAAATGTTAACTGGGAGTGTTCAGATACAGAACAATAAAAAGATGCCCAGACATATCTGAGATGCCCAGAACAATGTTATGTTGATTGCACTACACAGTTTGGATCACATACTCAGAAATGCTCTTTAGCATAAACCACTTACCAATTATGATCTTTACAGGCACACCTGGTTTCATTGTAGTGGCTTCATAAGCCTATTTATGCCTAGATTTGCCCTTGTTTCAGCTTTCACATACATTAATGAAGCATTTACAGGTTCTTAAGTGTTCAGCTTACCAAGTAATTCAAGATTGCCCTCGCCCATTCCTTTAATTAAATCGAAAGACAAATATCTAAGTTGGATTTTTAGGGAACTACATGAGGGTATTCAAAGGAAGAGTACCAGATTGACTAGAGAATGCACACACATCATAAATGCCCAGCTCAGAAGGTAAGGCAGTATATTATACAGTACAGAAGGACATAATTATTTTTTTAAGAAAAAGTATTTAAAAAAATTTTTTTTAATTTAGTTTATTTTTTTTTAATCCTCACCAGAGGACATTTTTGCATTTATCTTCAGATAGAACAGGAGGGAGGGAGGGAGGAAGAGAGAGAGAGAAACATCAACGTGAGAGAGACACATCGAGTGGTCGCCACTCACATGACCCCAACCAGGGCCGGAGACAAACCGCAACCGAGGTACGTGCCCTTAGTGGAACCGAACCCGGGACTCTGTGGTCCACAGGCCGACGCTCTAACCTCTGAGCCAAACTGGCCAGGGCGAAAAATCATTTCTTTTCCCTCCCACCTCTCAAATCATAACCTACTCTGCCTGAGTGTTCTGAGATCTTTTTCTATTTTTGTTCATAGGTACATTCCTGGCAATTCCAGATAACTTGTTTCAGGTGATTGTACGTTGTTTTAGAACAAGAAAGTTAGAATTGCAGCGTATTGAGAAGCATGAACGTAGGTTGTCAAGATATCAAGACTGTATCTTGTTTTTCTCTTTTGGCAGCAGCGTGACACGTCTTTGGCCACTCGTTAACCCACACATTTGTCTTCTCCACTGTAAATACTAAAATCTGAGGTTCTCAATGTGTTCTGTCCTAGCACACCTGAGGAAAAAGGCATTCCCATTAATTACAGTCGGTGAGAATCAGAATCTTGAGGAGGAGTCTTAGTATGGTTTTAGGGAGAAAAACAGAAGATGCTGATAACCCCTGTCCAACTTATCCTTCCTCTGCATGAGAGAGAGAAGGGGGCAAGGAGAGGGGGAGAGGAAAAGGGAGAAGATCTAATATATTAATTTACTATGGATCTGTTATTCCTGCTGTATCTTATGTGCAAGAACAACTCATTCTTTTTTATCTTTATTGTTTATTGAAATTTGATTGACATACAATATTATATTAGTTTCAGAAGTATAACATATGATTTTATATTTGTATATGTTGCAAAACGATCACCACATAAATCTAGTTAGCATCTGTCACCATACGTAGTTGCAGAATTTTTTTCCTTTATTGATTTTAGAGAGAGAGGAAGTGAGAGGGAGAGAGAGAAACATCGATGAGAGAGAACATCGATTGGCTGCCTCCTGCATGCCCCCCACTGGGGATTGGGCCCACAACCTGGGCATGTGTCCTGAGTGGGAATTGAAATGGCGACCTCTTGGTGCATGGGTTGATGCCCAACCACTGAGCCACACCCGCTGGACAGAATTATTTTTTCTTGTAATGAGATAAATTTCATTTCATCATGGTATATGATCCTTTCAATGTATTGTTGAATTTATTTTACTAATATTTTACTTAGGATTATTTCAACTATGTTCATCAGGGATTCTTCTGGGATGCTTGAAGTGTTAGAGTTGATTAAAATTATACATAAAACCATTTTGTCTAAAACAGTAATTGTTCATCTTGTTTGTATCATGGACCTCTTTGCCAGCCTAAAGCCTGCAAATTCCTTTTCAGAATGTTTTTAAATGCATAAAATAACACACACATCTAGGATTAAAAAGAATTAAAGTATAATAATCAAAATATTAAACTTGTGATGTAGCCCTGGTCAGTTTGGCTCAGCGGTTAGCATGTCGGCCCTCAGACCAAAGTCACGGGTTCGATTTCGGTCAAGGGCACATACCTTGGTTGCAGTTCAGTCCCTGGCCCTGGTCAGGGTTTTGTGGGAGACAACCAGTTGATGTGTCTCTCATGTCAATGTTTTTCTCTCTTTCTCCCTCCCTCCCATCCTCCCTCCTTTCTTCTCTATCTGAAGATAAACAGAAAAATATCCTTGGATAAGGATTTATAAATAAATAAATAAATGAAATAAACATGTGATCTAATAAATGCTACTTTATCGATGTATTGAATAAGAGCTAGCATCCATTCTAATAATTACCATAATTTCAAGGTAGTATTGAACCTAAAAGATAATTGAGATATATCTAGCAACTATAAATATGATATGAAAATATCTGATATTTATTGTTGACAAAATCACAGGTACTTTTATGTAATTTGTTGCCTACATTTTATTTGGAGAAAATACTAGACTTCAGTTAGAGGTTAGTGAAAATAAAGGTGTAGCTTTTTTCTCCATTGTTGTTCACAGACCACACTTCCCACCCCACCCCCACCCCCGGGTAAAATTTTTATTCCCCAGACACATTTGAGAAAGCCAGATGTTATCCTCTGTATGACAAGAGACTTAATCTTTGAGGAGAGTGGAGTTGAGTGTTTTCCATATTTAGCTCTTAATGCTTTTCAAACCTTTAAAATAAGCAAGTAGTTGGTTGTTAAATGGTGATTGTCAATAGCTCTTGCATTAGGAACTTGGCTTATAGCCATTATTTTTATGATAGATTCATGAAGAAATAGATATTCATCAAATCCATTTTGTCCTTTTATTTTAAAGTCAAAAGTCAAATCAGACCATATCTGCTAATAGTTATGAGCAGTGTTTTTTTTTTTTAATTGTTGTTGTTGTTGTTGTTACAGATGTTTCTCCTTTTTTACCCCATTGACACCCTCCTCCCTACCCCCCCCCACCCCTGCCCTGTCCCTGGCTTTGTTGTCCATGTCCATTGGTTACGCATACATGCATATAAGTTTTGTGGTTTATCTCTTTCCACCCCCCACCACCCTCTCTTTTGAGGATGTCAGTCTGTGCCCTACTTCCATGTTTCTGGGTCTGCCGTATTCCTCAGACTGTTATGTTCATTATATTCTGTATATAAGTGAGATCATGTGGTATTTGTCTTTTTCTGCTTGGTTTATTTCACTTAGGATAATACTTTCCAGGTCCCTCCATGTAGTCTCAAAGGATAAGAGATCTTTCTTTCTTACAGCTGCATAGTACTCCATTGTGTATATGTACCACAGCTTTATTATCCATTCGTCTACTGATGGACACTTGGACTGTTTCCAGATCTTAGCTATTATAAATAGTGCTGCTATGAACATGATTGGTGTTTCAGGCTTCTTAGGGTATATTCCTAGAAGCGGGATCACTGGGTCAAATGGAAGTTCAATTTTTAATTTTTTGAGGTAACACCATATTGTTTTCCATAGTGGCTGCACCAGTCTGCATTCCCACCAGCAGTGTACTAGAGTCCCCTTTTCTCCACACCCTCACCAACACTTGTTGTTTGATGATTTCTTGATGGCGGCCATTCTGACAGGTGTGAGGTGATACCTCGTTGTTATGAGCAGTTCTTATGTTTTGACTTTGGGCTGCTATGGTTGTATGTCATATGTTCCATTGTCATTAAAGAGAAAATATAATTCCTGTTGTAGGCCCTGAATCATCCTTCTGCTTTATGAAAATAGTATTGCTTTGTCAAATTTGTGTTGTTAAGTTTAGTGAGAGGATGGCAAAGAGAGAGAGAGAAACATCAACGCAAGAGAGAAACATCAATCAGTTGCCTTCCGTAGGTTCCCCGACGGGGAATCAAATTGGCAACCCTTCGGTGTAGATGATCAACCAACTGAGCCGCTCCGGCTGGGCATGTTATTTTTTTTAATTTAGTAAATACATATTTTTTTTTTTTTTGGTACGTGACCCTAGCGGGAACCGAACCCGGGACTCTCTGGTCCACAGGCCGATGCTCAACCACTGAGCCAAACTGGCCAGGGCCAATACATATTTTTTTAAAAGTCTACCATTTTTAAGTGCACAATTCATTGGCATTAATTGCACTTCACAATGTTGTGCTACTGCCACTATTTTCAAACTTTCCCATCATCTCAAACAGAAATTCTGTACTCATTAAGCAATAACATCCCATTCCCCATTCCCCTCGTTCCTGGTAACGTCTAACCTACTTTATATATAAATTTGCCTTTTCCCGATGTTTCATATAAATACATTAATACAATATTTGTCCTTCTGCATCCAGTTTATTTCCTTAGCATAGTATTTTCAAGGTTCATCCATGTTGTAGTATGTATCAGAACTTCATTTTTTTTATGGCTGAAAATATTCCATTGTGAGTATATACCACATTTTGTTTTATCTGTTCACCTTTTGAAGGACACTTGGATTGTTTCCACCTTTTAGCTATTGTGAATAATGTCATAAAAGTATCTGTTTGAGTCCCTGTTTTTATTTCTTTTGGATATATACCTAGGAGTAGAATTGCTGGGTCATGTGGTAATTCTATTGTTTAACTTTTCAAGGAAGCAATGTAATTACTTTTTTAATCGTTTATTATATTTTTGTTATGTTTTCATTAATGTTTCTTATGCACTTAAAAAAAATTTTTTTTTTTTAATTTCCTTGGTTAACTTCTGTTGCTGACTTTTAAGAAATTATTTTGGTCATTCATTTTTTTTTTCTTTTCTTTTCAATTGTTTGTTTTTCAGACCCGAGTCAGAACTCCATCACAGGGGAACACAGCCAGCTGTTAGGTATAGTATTACTGTGGGGATTGACTCGCTCTAACATTACCTTCTTCCTGTTTATACCAGCAGACATTACTCCCTTCTCTAATTCTATTTTCTATCCTCTCCTTTTCTACATTTCACTCCTCAACTTTTTTCCTGCAGTTTCTAGTCCCAACTTGGTAAGTTCTAGGTAACTATTTTTGTAATTGATTGTTAAGACTCAATTTAGTTATAAAGAAAAGGTAATTTTAACGAGGCCCGTGGTGTTAAAAAAATCTATAAGAATTGGAACTTCTTTTTCCAAAAATTGTGAAAGGAAGGTATTACAGTACTCTGCAATATCTTGGGTTTTGCAGCTTCTTTGCTCTTTCTATTATTTTTCATGGTCTTTTGATTCTCTTCATTAAAACAAAAAATTTTTTAATTGACTTTTTGGGGTGACACTGGTTAACAAAATTATACAGGTTTCAGGTGCACAATTCTACAACACATCATCTGTACACTGTACTGTGTGTTCATCACCCCAAGTCAAGTCAGTAACGTTCATTTTAATTACATAAAGTACTTCATAAACAGCATGGCCTTAAGCGAGCTATAATAGTTGAAGTTCTGGTTCTTCATCTGTGAAACACGTCATGGAAATGAGTTGATTCCCTTTAGGTATTGCTTATTTAAATTGTAGTCATCTTATAATTTGACAAGAATTTTACAATATCTTAGAACCAATTTTTTTTTTTTGTTTTGTTTAATCACACCTGAGGACATTTTTCCATTTTTTTGTTCAGGTAGAGTGGGGGGGGGGAGAGAAACATCGACGTGAAAGGGACACATCGAGTGGTTGCCACCCATACAACCCAATCAGGGCCGGGGACAAACTGCAACCAAGGTACGTGCCCTTGCAGGAACCGAACCTGGGTCTCTCTGGACCGCAGGCCGACGCTCTAACTGCTGAGCCAAACCGTCTAGGGCGAACCAATAAATTTTTAAAATAGAAAAATAAAACACTCAGGTGAGGAATTCAGACTATACAAAAGTATATGCTCTAAACAAAGTAAAAGTCCTCCACAGTACCTTCTCCCCACCACCTCACTTCTACTCCCGCCAAGAGACTTGCTGTTGACCCTTTCTGGGGAATTCTTCTAGAAATTAAAAAAAAAATTTTCTTTATTGATTTGAGAGAGAGAGAAATGGAGAGGAAGAGGGAGATAGAAACATCAATGAGAGAGAACATCGATTGGCCGCCTCCTGCATGCCCCCCACTGAGGATTGGGCCCACAACCTGGGCATGTGCCCTGACCAGGAATCAAACCAGCGACCTGGTGCATGGATCGACGCTCAACCACTGAGCCAGCCGGACTCTTCTAGAAATTTTAATGTTCATATTACATATGACTATCTTCTTTTACTTTTTCTATCAGTGTTATTATACAGATTGTTCTGTGACTTCCTTTTGTCCACTTAACATTTTATCTTGGATATCTCATACCAGTAATAAAGATCTGCCTTGTTTCTTTGCGGCAGAATAGTATTCCACTGTGTTCCTAACAGATGAATTCCTTGCTCAAAGGGTATGTACATTTTCCAAAAGATATATCAACTTAAATTCCCATCAATAAAGAATATGGAGGCACACTCGACTTCCTGTCATCAAAAGTAGATATTACCAATCATAAACGTTTTTCTTCATCTAATCAGTGAAAATGGCATCTCTAGTTTGTATTTGTACTTCTTTAATTATGAGTAAGTACTTTTAAATATATTAACAGCCATTTTGTGTGTGTGTGTATCTTTTGGTTTGAAGCTTATTTCTTTAAATCCTCACCCAGGGATATGTTTTTATTGATTTTTAGAGAGAGAGAAACATCAGTGTTAGAGAGAAATATTAGCTTGCCTCCCATACCAGGCCCTGACTGGGGATCAAACCTGCGCCTAGGTATGTGCCCTGACTGGGAATCAAACCTGTGACCTCTTGGTGTACCAGGTGATGCTCCAACCAACTGCCAGGGCAGTTTGAGGCTTATTTTGATTTGTATATTGCTGAACTTTTAGCTGTTTGAATATGTACAAAGCAGCTGTGAAAAACATAAGCTATCAAAATGTTTGAAGTAGAGAAAGTATTTGACTTGTTTGCTTATTATATATTCAGAGTATTAGCTGAAGAAATTGGGATATTTCTTGTCTTCTCTTTCAAAGTTAAGGACATAAGTTTCTGGTCTTCTCATTCCTTTGAACGTGTTCATATGTTGGAACAGTACCGGACACCCTAGGCACTAAATAGATATTTGTTAAGTAAATGATTTGATACAAACATAATCAGAAATCTGATCACCAGGGTTCTAGCCTTGTTGTATTGAGGCTGTCACCATTCTATTTTTCATATTAGATAGTTTATTTAAACTGTTCAAAATTAGTCTTCTCTGTATAAAAATTTTATATTTGGATCAGGAATGGTTAAGATTTCATAGAAAGAGTTTGTCATACCATGAAAAGTGTATTTTCCTCTAACCTATTAAATTGTTCCTGTCTCTGATACATGGCTGACAGGTAGAGAGGTCTGAGTGTAGTTAGTTCATCATCTGACCAGGAATAGGTATGTAATGGAGGTAGGGGAGGACTTAGCTAATAAATGTGCAGTTGAGAAAGTTGGCATGGTTTCTGTGTTACTAAGCTTGATTTTATTTCTAATTATGCACTTGTCTAAAAGATAGCAGACGAATTGTAGGGGAAAGGAAATAGTATGTGATTGTGAAGGAAAGGTTTTCTTAGTATTAGCCAAAAACCCTTAATAGTGTTGCAGAGAGACTTTTGCAGACATTTGGCAACCTACAACTGCATTCAGTTTTAAACAAACATGGGAATTTATCCAGAGTCTTCTGGCCATTTTCTCAAGTAAGTTTATCCTGCTTGCTATCCTGGGTTCTCTCTCCTAGGTTCATTAAGTCAGATTCTATTTTCTTTTTTCTCATGCTCTTGCTAACTACCATCTTCTGTCTCCCATCTTAAGTTTCTTTGTTCTAACTATAGCCTCAAAGTCCTTAAAAAGACTAGCTTTATTTTTAAAATTTTTGTAAAAAAGTAAAAGATGTAGTTCTCAGAAAAAGCATTGGTAGCTTGAATTAAAATCTTGCCAACTCTGTATAAAAACCTCATTTAGGATAATTTGGCCTAATAGGAGAAAAACTGGTTCATTTGCCTTGCCTGCCTGCCGAATGGAATTTATAATAGCATTTTCCAGGCCTCCTAAATGTTTTTCCTGTCAACAGGGTGCAGCTCTTTTAAGGTACCTAGTGTTCTTCTCACTGACTCATCAGATCTCTTGCAAAACTCAGGGTCAGGTTGAGGAGATGTATGAAAGGGTGAAACTGCTGTTGTGATAAAGAATCAAGCTGTACGCTTATGATTTATGAGCTGTGTGTGTGTGTGTGTGTGTGTGTGTGTGTCTGATTTTAAATTTTAGAAAGCAAGCAAGCAAATGAGCAGTGGGCCTTGACATTTTCATCAGTTTTACCAAACATTCAAGGAAAAATAATTCTATTCTTATACAGTTTCTCTCAAGGAACAGAAAAACAAATAAACACTCCCAACTCAGTTTGAGGCTTGGATTACCTTGATACCAAAACTCAGCAGTGACAATATGAGAAAGTACAGGCCAGTTTTACTTAGAAACACAGATATAAATATCCTAAACAAAAATATTTGCAATCTTAAGCAATATATTTTAAAAATTGTCCCCGTGACCAGGTTGGGTTTTCAGCAGAAAGGCATGGTTGGTTTATCATTAAAAATCAATTTATGTACCTCAGTATATTAACAGATTAGAGGAGAAATATCATATAATCATCTTAATAGATGTAAAAAAAAAAATTTATTTGAAACATATCCAATATTTAAATGCATGAGTTCATAATGATACTTAAAAAAAAAACTTACTGATTACCAGTGGAGTATTTGAGTGAACCCATTCATTATTCTGAGAATTGGTCAGTAAAAGGTAAAAATGAAGTATTTCTCTTGCCTTTACTATACCAATGGATAACCCAAATAGGATATTAGAAGGAATGTCCTTTTATAAAAGCATTTCAGCTAATAAATGAAAGAATAATATATTCAGATTTTTTTGTTGTTAAACCTCCACCAGAGGATTTTTTTTTTTTTTTTAAGAGAGAGAAACATTGATGTGAGAGAGGCACATCGATCATGATTGCTTCCCGCACTCACCCTTACTGGGCCAGGGATCAAACCCAGGTACATGCCCTTGACTGGAAATTGAACCCGTGACCCTTTGGTGCACAGGCCAACACTTTATCTACTGAGCAACATCAGCCAGGGCCAGAAATATCAACATTTTTTAACCTCTCATAAATTAATGGATCTAGGCATTAGTCATCAATAGTTGCTAATGAATAAAAAGAAAAGACAACCAGATGATGTGTACTTCCTGATAGAAGACCAAAATACCACTATGAAGGCTTTTTCCTCCCCCTCTCCACCTAAAAATACTAAATGTGTAGACCCAATTACCAATTTATAGGAAATACCCCCAAAAACTGTTAAATAACATGACATCATCAGAAACTTGTAAACAAATGACATAGTTTCTTCAACAAATAAATTGCAGAGAAGGCTAAAGACTTAAGAGATATAGCAACCAGTCATACTATGTGCCTCTTATTTGGCTACTGATTTAAACAAAAGCGTGATAACGGTGTTAATATCCAAAATGTATAAAGACCTTACACAACTCAAGACCAAAAAAAGGTTTGGCATTGGAGCGAGGGCTGGAGAGGAGGCTTTCTCCTGGACAGACTTGCTATCAGAGGCCTTTGTTCCTTTGGTGAGCCCTTCCCTGGGGCAGCAGACAACCACCATATCTGGGACTCCAGCAACTTGGCTCACACTATTTGCCCCGCCCAGGTGATTCCCTGAGGCCCTGCCCCACCCAACTTTCAGGCCCACCCAAGCTGTTGCCAGTTGCTTTACCACAGGATTGGCCTGTCTTGGATCCTGCTTCAGGTTTTCCTAAG